TGCACAGCTAGAAACAATATATGATGTAGACAAGTATGTGGGCTTGTCGCTAACGGGTGCTATGACGTCACAACGTGATTTCGGTACGTTTTCCCTAGCGCCTTTTTTATTAAGTATTCTGCAGGAGAAACTATTGAAAACAAATTCTGACTTTTTGCACATTAACTAATTATACTTTCGGAAAATGAATTTTCAGAATATGCTAAATGAACCCATTTGACAACGCAAAAAGCAAAACGCGTAAAGGTTTATTTGCAACCCACATTTACAGAGTGATTTACAGAAATGGAAAAGTTGTGTTGCTTACGGGAAAATATCGAGAAAGGGAAGTTTTATGGAATGTTAACTAAATACAGAAATAAAACAAAAAGTAATGGCTCGTGGAAAACTTCGTAAGAGCATTAGGTGCTGGCGATGTTAACATAAAGATTTTGCAAATAGTCTACTGGATAATCAAGTGTCTTAAAAATATTGTGCTGTACATAACGTTGAATAAACTAATTATATTAATATTATTAATAAATGCAAAGTTCGACGTACTCGCTCAAATTTAATTAAAAATAATTTATTAGTGTATTATAGAGAAATATACCAATTGATTCTAGGAATTTAGTGATATATTAAATTATTCCAAAAATCTAGCTTATTACCATTATGCCATTAATGTTATTAAGGTTAAATTTAATATAATTTTTTAATCCATCAATTTGTCACTTCAATCAAGTTAAGCCACGAAAATAGCTTTTCCAGCAACAGTTTTTCCACCCACATCTCAATAGTTTCATGACAGAATGTGAGACTCCTAACTGTTATCAAATTAGGTTTGGTTTTCAATTTGTTTATTTAACAATGAAAACTATATACTACGTATTTTTGCAAAGTCTGACAAGATTTAGAAAAGCGTGTAAATTTGTAATTAGACTCTTGTAATTAACAAGAAAAAAAACAAATGCATCTTCAGTAACTTATTCTTTTTACAAAGGAATTTGCTCCTAAAGAGGTATTTATTTTTTCCCCTTAAAAACAGAACTAGTTTTTACTATACTAGTTTTCGTGTAACTAGCGTGAAAAGATTGATAAAATTGCGAAAAAAATATTGATGATGTAAGCAGAGCCCTAGGCCAAAATAGACCTTGGTTCTCTTACAAAAGTATTGCCATCGAAAAATCTTGATTTGAGTTTGCTTAAAAGCAGCTACTACAAAGAGATCTTCTTTCCATGTGTTAGTCTCTGTCAAAGGTAATGAGAGAAGAGAGAACAATAGGCCTCTTGCACCTGCCGGATTTTTTATTTTAGTTCACATATTTAAATATGGCCTTATTTAAAATTATTAATTATAGAATCTTTTGTGAAAAATTCTACTCGAAAATTGACTAAATCGTACATTGAACTTTGCTATTGCTGTGACGTCATCGGTAAGTAAACTGGCCGCTCCACATTAGAAAACGATGTCGGTCCTATGACTTCTTAAAAATATTTATTATTTTTAGTTTACATACGATACGATAACTATACTGATGTGCTGTTATATTTACTAACTGGTTTCCATTCTGTTATGTAGGTATACCTAAATAGGCAGATATGTAGCAAAATAATTAAGTCTGTGTA